CCCGTGGGAGAGGCCAGCAGCGCGGCCGGATGCCGCTCGCCGTGTGCCGAAGGCGGGGGCTTCCCGGATCCCTGGGGTGAGCCAGAGAGGACCGATCAACCTGGTAAAAAAATGCCCGTTTGCCGATCTGGATGGTCTCTGCCCACGTGCCGGTGGCTTTGTTTTGATTTAAAAAAGAAAATTGAGGGTGGAGAGCGGAGGGCGAGGAGCTGCAGGGGGAGAGGAACCCTGGGTCCCAGGGACGGAGCCCAGTGTCGCCCCCCTGCTCCGCGCCGACAGCGCTATCTGTGATAACGGGATTTAACATCCCACTACGCCCGCCCTTCAGCCCTCCAAAACCTGCCAAGGCGCCTGGCAGCCCCGTGCCGATCTCCTGGCTCTCCCGCAGAACCGGGAGGCAAAGCGAGACCTTTGAAATCTTTCGGCGCTCTGGGTAAACCCCCCTCAGCCATGGGCTGGGCTCACTGGGAAGAAAACCCAGCCACCCTGATGCACCCAGACTGCGACGGGACCCCCACCGCGGAGCCAGACCAGAGATGAGCATCTTGGGCCGGTCCCTCGCTACCCCCAGGCAGTGGAAGCACCGGGATCTGCTCCGGCGAGCGCCACGCACCAACAGGTTAAACGTCACCGGGGCAGAGCAAAGTGCCGTGGAGGACCTGCCATGCCCAGGTACCACCGAGATTCTCGCCCTCTCGTGTTGTGCCCATCGGTATCGTGTGGGTCAAACCCCAAGCGGACCAGGAGGAACCTCTTCTCCAGAAGGGAGAAAACGAGGCGAAACGCGGAAAAGTGGCAGGAAAGAAAAGCCCCATTTGTTTGGAAACCCCCCACTGCTGGTCTCCAACAGCCCTGGAGCCAGCTGGAAACCGCTGTGTCCCGAACGCACCCAGAGCCCCGTCCTGGCTCCCGGTGCCGCGTCAGCAGCCGCATCCCCGGAGGCGTGCGGCCGCAGGTGCCCACCCACCACACATGGGCAGCACAAACAGACTGGTACCCGCTGCAACCTTTGCAGAAAAGCCCATCACCCAGGCAGGCAGAATCATCATTGAGAATCCCAAATTAGGTTTTGGGTTGGTTTGGGGTTTTTTTTTTTGTTTGGGGTTTTAATTTTTAAATCTCCCTGGGAAACATCCGAGCACGGCTTCAGTCATCAGGATCCCCTTTCCCTCACCCCTGGACGCATCCCCCGAGATTGCCCTTGAGAGGGTGGCCAGAGCCTCCCGCTTAATTAAGAATCTGCTTTTTAAGGTGATGCTTTGGGGAGGGCAGAGCTGCTCCTCGCCCCATCACTGGCACGGGCGCATCCCTGCCTCCGGTGAGGAGCCCCAGCAAGACCTGCTGTCACCCCCTCCCGGTAAAGTCCCGGTCACAGCGCCCGCCTGAGCCGCGAGCTGCTCTCTCCCAGCACGAAAAAGCAGGAGAGGCATTCGGAGAGGAGCAGCACTGCACCCACAGCCACCGGGCAGGTCGGCAGCGGGTCCTGGGATAAAACCCGCACCCGACCACCGCA